CTCAAAATTAATCTCAACAATCAATCACTAACATTTTTAATTAACTACTGTTTGAAGGTTTGCACAGTTTGGCCTTGAAATCGCTTCGATGCAGAATAAAAATTTGTATATTGTTATACGGGATATGTGACTTTTTACAAGCTGCTATAGAATCGAGAGGCAAAAACCGGAGAAATCGAAGTTAACAATTAATTCTTTCGATTCAGGGATTATTAACATTAATAGTTATAACCGCGTCTTCTCAGCCCACTATTTAGCATAACGAATCTCGCATAATCGTCATGAACATATCGCGTTTGATCGACACTTGACATCTCGCGTATCGTAGAACGGATGTACATATATATTCCGGAAATGCTGGACAACTCAGTCCATATCGTATTGTCCACTTGATCCACTTCTGCTTTGATTCGCTTACTGTATGCGGGACTGTAATCGAGTCGTCTATCAATCATTACACAGAGATAGAGAAAGCTTTACGAGGAGGACAGAAACTGTCTAGGACAGAAATTGGTCGGCTACGAAGAGACGTGACGCAGAAAGAGAGATATCAATTGTATATAGAATACAGAGAATAAGCTTCTTGGCATTGGCATAAGTTGTTTGGCATCCGTCCGCTCGCAAGGCTGTTCCAACATTGAATACCAGATTGCATCCCGCCGTTCTAATTAATTTATAATACCTCTAATTACGCAGTCATGTCGGACGTAGCTGTCTCGACGTTTAATTTGTTCGCTAATTAAACAGGTTACGCTTTGTATATGAGGGAGCACTGCTACGACGACGGTCGACTTGTGCTTGTGCTGCCTTTCTCTTCCTCTCGTATAACGTTTACAGTTTCCAGCCTCTCGGTCGTACAGGCCATATGCTTGGAAACAACGAATACACGACCGCTCGTTGCGGTCACAGCTGAATCCGCAGATGCGTCTGTCTGACCACTTTGGTCGTTGCATTATATCGCCTCACTATTAAGGATTACGTCTTCCTTATGACAATTTCTCGGTTTTAACATTACCCTCTCTGCTTCTGCGGTATGCTCACTTCCAACTATACATATTGCACGCACATATTTACACGTTCATAATCACTCATTTGTTTCATTACATTTTCACAACGTTTAACGTTAAGGTTGTATGAGCCGTAAGATCTCTGCCACAAGTTTAAGACAATGATATTCTGCCTTATCACGCAGCTATCGGAGTCCATCCCCTTAAACACAATCATGTTTTTATGAAGTATGATATCGATTGGCTTAGCATAATTCTGTTGAAAATAATACGATATTGTAAAGTCAATGGCATTAAGAATAACAAATTTATGCAGAAGGGAGTAACGATAAGAAAACCATTTTATTTAATTTATCTTTCTGTTTGATGACCCGCTTTGACGTTCAACTTTAATTTCCTATGGGAGTTCATGGGCACTCTGCCGCTACATCATCTACTATATTATTCGGCCCTCTCTGTTTCCTCTCGTATTCTGATAAGCATACCTTCCATACCCAGCACAGACTTTTAATCGTAAATAGTACATTAAATACAATACATATAATTCGTACATGTCTTACAATTAAATAAAATATATTACAGGAACATTATATTTAATACAGGAATCATAACAAAATGTGTATATTCTTTTCTTTCAACTGATATGTTTGTTTGAAACCTGATTAAAGTATTAAAAAATATGCCATTAAGGAACAACAAAAAATTGGGGTAACACAGTTATTTAAAACAAATGCAAATAATGCACTTAAGGGGCTAGATTAGTCACGTGACTTTTCTAACATTTGTCGGTAAAATTTTGACCATTTTTGCTCTTTTTTTTCGATAACCAGGCAAAAATAGTGCAAAATATGAATTTACAGGAATACACTTCTCGTTCTTATGAGAATATGTTTTGTTCAAGTACCTCTTCAGAAAGAGAAAAGTCAAATCTGGCACGGCCTGGACATTATTTCAATCAAAACAATCTGTTTTGGATAAACAATTGCTTATAAGCAGTGGCATTGTAACTGTGATGTTTCGTCCAAATTGTAACGCTCATATTGCTAAATATCATAATATTCTGATTAAATAATGTCCAGATTTATATATACATATTATTATTATAAATATAAATTATAATTATAACTATAATTTAAAACATTTCTACTACCTGGTTTCTAAATTAAGTAACTTGTGGTTCGACAATATCTACGGTCTGGTAGCGAGTAGCTCGTTGATAGTATAAATGAACATTCACTTGGAAAGCTTCGTCGCATAGCTTCTGAAAACTTCGCGGTCGATCGAACGTTTTGAAGTTCAAATTGTCGGAGTTCGAAGTAAATTCAGAGTTTATCCTAATCACTTATCGATGAAACGCAGGTTTGAGTTCGAACCCGGGGACGTGACAACACATGGAAAATGTTCATCGTTTAGTGAAAATATTGACGAATCGAGATTTACCCGTCGAAAACTCTGTCAGAGCTTTAATCTTTAAATATCACCGATTTTTATTGACGATTTCTAGTAAATGGAAGAGACATCGAAGATAAGGATATACGCTAGCTTCGAACAATTTGACGAACAGAATATCTTTTTGATAGATAAATCAGTTCGATGTTCTTCTTTATTCTACTCATGACACTGTTCGTTAATGGTAACTAACTTTTGATTTCTATTATTCCATCCCTCGTGTACTATGTTTACATGAACGAGATAGAATTATGGTTGTATATTAAATTAAGCAATTCGATGAAAGTTAAATGAGATCTGATTCCCTGCAAATGTGTTCCATAATAGGAAATTTTTAAACCTCTGCTTACTAAAACAACAACGTTTCTTGATTTGATAACTACTACGATACCAGCATTTCATGTTCATGTATATTTCACAGATGCATTATGCATCGATATGAATGCAAGTTAATATCAATTGATTCTGATCACGTAGAAACAACAATAAATGATAACAAAATAACAATTTTGTTTGAACAATTCGTAAAATTGCGTTTGGACATCATAAATTATAATACGATGTATAGCAATTTTCCACATGAAATCAAACAGAATTGTATATTTTCCGGGGAAAGAGCATATAGTTTATAAGTATAATATGTATAATAAAGTTTTAAATATGTAGAATCGATATATTACCGATACCTGGTTTGCACACGTAAGGGACATCGCAAGGGAAGTAAAACATTTTCATTTTAATTAGTTTAGCATCGATTTCATTTTACTGTCTTCTCTTTCCTTTATACTTTACACTCCTCTTTCTCTCTTGAATTTAACAGTAATTGACGTTTATTACATTTTATTAAACAGACATTATTACTTCGTTAATTACATATTAAATACATTTAATTAATAATTAAAATATACAAATAAAAAAATGAGCCTAAATGAAAATGTAATCCGTTACATAATTGTTTCTATTATGTATTTTATAATAATAGTACAATTAAGACTAATTTATCTGTCACGTCTCGTCTGTGTCAGTTGTGTATATTGTATTATTCATTCTTTAATAATCAGAGAATGTAACAACAATTCTTCTGAAGGAACAGGAAATTGTGAAATCGTGAAAAGAAATAGTTAAGAAAAATGATACAGGATTTAATATGAAGTTAATGTAATTTACGAGGGAAGGAGTGATTGTTGTTGGCCATCAATCATAGTTTCGCAGAGGATTACCAGAGACAGATACATAAATCTGTTCAGTAGTTGTTATGAATGAAAATAAATGCAGATTTCCACGAGAAGCAAAACGGATGATGGGAAACTGCTTTTATTAAACTAAGGAAGCTTCGTGCATTTCAAATCCGTAACAGAATTGTATGCAATTCTATACAGTCGATATTTGAATAGCTACAATTATACACTCGATTCTTTTAGTTTTTCATTATCGAGTTTTTAATAATTTTCTCGCAGGAATTTCATACAATTAAATGGATTATCCGGTCAACCTTCATTATTTCAAATTTCAACTCATTTGCTAATTCAATGCTTTTAACGTCATCTTAGATACAAAATGCAATAAAGCTCGGCTAGTATTTTCTGTCACCGTTATTTGAATTGTGATGTGTGTATATTTGCTATCGATTACGTTAAAAGTTTTGTAATTCGCACAAATTAGTTGATATTGCCAATATAAATTAGTGCATTTAATAGAATTCTTATTAAATTTGAGAACGAAATAAAACTCATTTATGATCTAAATAATTTAACTTCAACCTACATATGAATGTCACACACATTCAAAAGTTTGGAGGATGTTAAGATTTCAAAGCAAATAACGACCTTTTTTCGTAAATAAATATTTACATTGATACACTTTTGTAATATAGAAATATTAGATAAGATACGTAGAAGTGAAAGTTAAGATTATATTACTCTTACTTATCAGAAAAACTGCGTTAATTCACAAAAATGTCTCTTCGCAGAATAATCTTCCTGTTTTTCGATAACTGCTTGATATCATTTAGTTATTCTGAAAATTAATTTTCCGATTGTTTTAAGTTCAATATTATGCCTCTTCTAAATAGTTCTAGAGGTCGGTTTTAGGCGTTAAGCACTTTTCACTAAATAAGAGTGAAAAGTGATATACCTCGAAATTCAACTACGAAATACAGTTTAATGTTTAAAAAAGAAACATCTGCATACGTGCGAAAACATTTTTTTCATCCAAAAGGTAGTGCCTTAAAATTTAGAGCAGGAGACTATACGCAGGTACAGATTGTACCAGTATTAGTCTTCTAAATGCGGGATGTCGTTCTCCAAGTCAAGAAAGGGATAACAAACGAGGAAACGTTAATCTATGACAGCCTTTAGTTTCCAGTACTGTCAATCACAGGTACCACGTTACGATAATTCCTGGATAATTAACAAGATGCATAACGCCGTATCTATGAAGGATTGATGCTCGATGGGACGAATCGTCATTTCGACGAAGCGGCGGGGGCGATGGGGTAGCACCGGGTGAGTAGCGGTGTCTGCGGGTGCATGTTCCACACTGTGGGGGTGAGGGTGGCGCGAAGGGAAACCTAGCAGGCGAACAGTCCGAGATCGTTGGTATTGGTTGGTATCGGTGCGACAAAGGGGCTAAGGGGTTCTAAGGGGGTAGATGCGTCGGCGTGCTGCGCCGTAGCTTTTGCCGCGGCACCCGGCAGTCCATAGGCGAAGTTCTAACGAGTAACCGGCGACCGAGCCGTCTCGTTCCTCCGTCAACGTTCTCGCAAATAGATCGTGTCGAGATTTACGCGTTCCTTGTTCGATCATCCACCCGTCCGGCTTCTTGATCCGTACGCTCGTTCCAATCAGCGAGTCTCTCCAAGTTCGCATTCGTTCGTTCTATTTCCACTTCTCAACTTCCTCGAAGATATATAAAGTTGTAAGAGGGAAAGGATCCCGTCGAGTGGATTTCTTGAGGAAACGATCAATCTGTGGGTCGATGTAGGGTAGGTTTTGTAAAAATAAAGTGCCGTGAGAAGTGTTCGACGACTGTTGCAAGTCTTTGATCACGGCGAGGACATGTGACAAACGGGATCGCGAAACTCGTCGAATCGTGAGTGAACGGTAAAGAATTTTGGATTCGTGAGTCGTCACCCGTGGATCTGCGGCCGTGAAAACCCGGTAGTGATATATCAGTGAGGAATATCAATCAGTACAAGTAGGTGTTGTGATCGAAGAAGGGTGCGACGCTTTGAAAGGTTCCCGCGATTTACGCTCAACGAATACACTCGCGTGCTCCTCGCGAGTATAGTACTCGTAACAGGGAGAAACTTACGGAGAAACTCTATATTCGCGTAAGTTTTACCGAATTAAATGTAAATGTTGGAAACGTAGCCGAAGCCACACGGAGAGATGTAAATTCGATTAACTGAATTTAATCGAAAGATTCCCGAGAATTAATGTCGAACATCTTTCGCAATTGATTTCAAATCACGAGCCGGTTACCCAAAGAGCTCCGGGAAATAAAGTAATCGAAAAGTCATTAGTGAATAATTGACGGAAATATTGCGGGCGTTCTCCGATGTTCGGTTCCTTAATTGTCAGCGATTATAAATTCTGCTGCCGGTCAGCGCAAAACTAGGGCACTCCCAGTCCGGTTCTCCGCGTGTTACCTGATTTGAGACTCGCGTACGAAAAAATACGGGGACGAGATAGAGGGGAAAAAACGTGTCGAGAAAAACAGTTTAAGCGGGGATAAAATCAGCGGCGCGAAGGTCGGAACCGGATACGAAAGGAGATGAACGGTTCCGGAAAACCCGGGAAACGTTGAACAGTACCAATTGCGACAAATTACACGTTACTTCGTCCGGTAACGTTGGCGTACTATTAAAAGGGAACGCGAACCAACGTGATGTGTCATCGGACACCGTCGACGGTGTAATTAACTCATTCTTCTTTTCCTACCCTCTTCGTTCGCCCGCATATTATTTTATTGTTGATCTTTCTTCTCCGTCGCACTTCTTTCGTGAAACGGAGGGATATAAAAATGATTTAATTAGCAGGCTGTACTCGGATCCTTGTTTTTATTCGAGTACGAATGGAAAATTAGATGGTAGTGAAACGGCAGAGAAGAACGTCGCGGTTCGAACGATGTTTTTCGTTTACAAAAGAATTCTTTTACAGTACCATAGACGTACGTTTCATTACTGCCGGAGATTGTTTCTTTCGCGGAAAGTAAAGGATGGTGAAATATACATTTTTCTTAAAGTAGAATCCTGTTTCTTTCTAATATGATTGCGTCTGATAGCTAAGAAAATTAAAATGAATGTGTTGTCGAGAAACATTTTAGCGGTTCACGTTGACTCTTTCTATTGATTTTAAGAGAAAACTTGTACGATAGGGCGAAATGTACGAATGATGCGTAGCTTTAGCTTAGTCCTGTCCATTGTCAGAGACTTAACTTCGATTGAAAGACCGCTTAAGGTCTAGGAACAGTTAAGCCTTTCTTTTCGAGATGCTATTCCGTACCGTTTTTCTTATTCCTTCGATAGATTTTTGTGATTCTTTCGCTGTAATGATAAATTTTATTTAGAGGAAAGCAATATGGATTTCAATTCAATCTACGTTTCTTTCATTTTCGAAATTGATGTTTCCGTCGAGGGAGACATTTGTACGATTTATGTGTCTGTACAAATCCTTTTATGTTCATTATGTTAATTCTTTTTTACCCACGCGAAAAATGAGATGGTTTTTACTGGAAAATATCGGTGGAAATGGGATGATTTGTTGGCTGTCGATTGCCCGTTTTCATTTCGATCGTACACGCGTTTGTGAAACATACCTACATCGAAAGTATTTCCAGGGAACGAAACATATTTTACACGCAATTTCTCTTACTTTTTGTTTTATTCTTTACTTTGTGATGAACAAATTCGATATTTCCAATTTTCATTAATTAAAATGGCATTGGAATGAATGAGGTTTAAAAAAGGGAAAAACGAAATACATTTCAGTTGCATAATTTATATAAAAACTGACAGTAAAATGATACCTCAGGATATTGAGATCTCTTTTAACTGCACGATTTACAAAAATAGATTCATTACGTTTCACTGTCTAAATTGAATAAAGATTATAAATAAATTTCTAAAATCACTATCGGGTCGTATGAATGTACAACGACTAGTGGAACATGTAAAAAGATAAAACAATTTTTTTGTATTCGGCGTTTGTATCAGTTTTATACCGTTTAATTCCATGGCCTATGTATTCGCAACGGGATATCGTTTTCACAGTTATGGAGATCGTGTCGACACGTGTGTCGCGTACGTTCAGTCGTATACGTATGTGTAATCCGACAACAAATTTATATCATCCGCGAAAGGTTTCTCCTAATCTCACGGTATTTCGAGTTTGCTTCGATATACACGGTGCTTCTGTTAGTTTGATATGCGTATAAGGTTTATATACAGGTGTATCATAGAAATGAAAACGGATCGATGATTTTAGAGTAAAAACAAAAGTGGACTTAGAGTGGCCTAGAAAAGAGTCGCATGGAATTCCCATGGACGTATAACAATAGTGAAAGTTGAATAATACATACAAAGATATGTTTCTGTAGTGTACTTGTAAAATTAGATAAACCATATATGAATTTAGATTATATTTGTATTTTGAGTATTCTGTGGTGTTAAATTTTAAATTATTTCAAATGTTCAAAGAATCTCTAAAGAATTTTTCTCTTTACTAAATAAAACTCTTTCAGCAATTGTATTTCTATTATCGAATCCTTTAACCTTCCAGCGATTGTATTTCTATTATCGAATCACTTACATTTCAATTGACGATTACAAGTAAAGTAGGAGTGAAAAGTTTTGGAAAGTATTTTTAAATGACAACGAAGATTTAATACAAAAGTGCATATTGACTTGGGATTTCATTTACAAATAAAGCGTTATTTGTCAGGGACAGGTCTATAATAGAATAGCAGTAAGAGAGAAGAGTGGTGACGATAACGTGCCGAGAGTGAAGGAAGATAAGAGAGCATATTATATATCCTCTTCCTCCCTAATATTTCTATTTCTATTACCTTGTATTCATCGTGCATGCCCTCTTATTTTCTTTTCTCGGCGACGTGCCCTCCGCCACCTGCGATCACATTCTAGTTAGTACAGAACCAGACCGAAACATAGTGAAAACAACGCTGTCATCAGCAGACCTATTAATTTTGTTTGTCTTATAAAAACAACAGTTCGATTCATTAAGCCGACGTTTACTTCATATACAGTATTGTCACATCGTATGTTTCAATTTGTCTTAAAGTAGACTGTGATAGAGCCCAAAGGTTAATGACCGGAGAGCACTGTATTTAATAAAAGAATGCAATTAATGGAAGGTTAATAGACAATAGAGAGCGATTCAATTCGAGAAATGATTCGACGTTGGTTCAGACCACCCAGTGACGAACGGTAGAAGCATCTTGATCGAATTTCGTCATTGGACGCATGTGAAATTGCACAAGGCGGCGGCAAATGTGCTCGTTAACAAACCCAATCGCGGCCGGGCAACGATTATTCGTGATCGAGTTAAACGTGGCCAAGTGTTTCAGAACGTGATGTTTCCAGGTATCGTCATCGTTCCGGGCTTAACGAGGTGCAGTTAATGCGTCGTTAGGCGAGCTGCGACGCGTATGGACGCTCACCGACCATCCAAATCCTCGAAACTGTCGCCGCGATCGCCAGGACCCTTAGTCTGTGTGTAGTGAGAAGAGTGCTTCGCGTATTTCGCGTTTGACTACCGGCCCTCTCGATCGCACGTTCGCCGGGCCGTCGGTAGATACACATATAGAGAGGGGCCAGAGAGGAGGACGTACCGTGTAGATACCGGCAGATATTCGCGAAAATAACGGGAGAGACAGAGAAACAGACGAGTGGGGAAAATGAAGAAAGGTGTAAGCGGTCACGGGTACACGGACGCGCACCCTTAAAGTGAACTTCTCTCACGTATATGGGTTGCCAGTGAAAGAGACTCTCGTGTAATCCCTTCCGGAGACGATTGGATCGTCCTTTCGTGGTGAGAAGTTACGAGGAAAGGAAACGACGTTAACACGGCTGTAGCATCGAAAAAGAAAAACCCGGCGGAGACAATAAGACAGCGGCAGGGGAGAAGGGCGAGGAGTCGAACAGAGAAAGGTGAGTGCGTCGATACGGATAATCGTAAGATAAATGAATACATATGTAACGGCGCGTGTATACGCGGTCCATTTACCGGGCGGCTCTTCTACGATTCGATAATGCTGATTTACATATTTCCCGATAACACCGCATATTTCGAACGTATCGCGTTAAAGCTGTAATCGTGCGTGTAATTCGCCTCCGTACGTGTAACCAACGACGCTTATAACCGGCGAGGTATTACCGAAAATCCGTCTTAAATCTCTTGTAATTAAATCTTGGGTGTAGTGAGCATCATCGAGCCACAACCGCCCAGTTACCCCCTTACCAAGTCGATGCCTCGGATAATGTGACGTAGTTTGCTTTTCTCCGTATAATAGGCCGGCTTTATCGAAGCCTACAATATGCTTTAAGTTTCGAACACCGGATATTATTGACACATTCTATTATCGACAGCTAGGGCGAGAGTCAATTAACCTTGTTAGTTCACTAGCTTTGCTACTTTTAACGTCATATATTTCTCCTTAAGTAGGTGTTAATTGCTTGTACGTGAGAATGAAAGTGGTTACTCTTTTTGGTTTAGAGAAATTTAGAATCATAGTTGGGTTAATTGCATTAAATCGTATGGAATGAAATATTTAACTATTCATTGTCTAATATGTAAAAACCCAAGTGCACATAATTAGCCAATATGCATAAACATAATTTTTGCAAATATCCCTCTATCAGTTTTTCAAAAAAATATGCCATACCACTTTCATTCTCACGTAGACAATCATAAATCATGAAACTAATAATAAAACATTTTTGAAAATGAATACTTCATTTTGTAATTGTTAGGTAATTGAATTCACAGTTTGTGATAAAAAAATACAAACATCATTTAAATATTATTGAAACCCGAAGTAGATTATAACACCTAAACATTATTATTAGGATAACATTACCAACGTACACGCATCGATTCCCACGAGAAGTTCTTATTTCTAAATAGGTTAATCCCCTGGATAGCGATTAACGTTCCAATTTTGAATGTAGCTGTGAAATCCATAATTCACTCGATATACACTTGATACAATAAGCGCGCAATCCTCTGAATCGCAATCCACTGAACCACAATCCAAATGGCCAATTGTTTTTCTCGATACAATTTCTAGTCCCAGTGACCAGAGATGCACAACAGTCTGTTATATCCAATTGTAGTTATTTATTTCATACCGTTCGAACAACATTGCAGATAATTGCTTAATATACTGTCCATGGCTCCGTCCATTTTCAAGGCTAATGGAGTGGTCGTTTCTAATTCACCAGTCTATTTCTTCCTCACTTCGTTAATTGCATTGACAGAATATGTTCTATTGGAAAGAAAACGAGTGTACGATGAGTAAATTATTCGATTATACCGTTTTGTTCCGTGGTTAATAAACGAGTATGTATGTATGCAAGCAAAATCTGGCTCAGTCACGAAGTTATCAACAACCACATTTTTCAAACGATACTTGCCTTTGAACCGAGAAAAATATTTGCCTCTGAGTCGAATAACAAGAAAAAGAAAGAACACGTACGTTGATATGTGTAGAGGAAGGTGGGGCAAGACGGGTTGCTTAAGAAGAAATGTAAAAAGAGGTAGAACAGATTTTTCACACAACATGTTTTTATTATTGGTAAATTGGTAAAAACTTATCTTTGACTCTGAATAATAGATCTGATATTATACAAAGCAAGGACTGGAATAATTATGGTTTTACAAATTAGCATAATTTTCTCATTTTGTACCACGCGCGGGGCAAGATGGGAAGATTTAATTATATTCGAAACGTGTGTTTCAGAGTAATTGAAAATTTCAGTATTCCACTTTCTTCTATTATTTGACGGGATTTGTTAAGTTTCTGATGTTTTCTTCCTTTTTTACTTGTTTTAATATATACATATATATATTAAATATATACAATTGTACTCTATTAATACGTACTGTTATGACTTCCATATATCGTTATAAGACTGTTGGAAACTTTCAGAATTTTGTTCTAAATTGTGGCACGTGTAGCCTGGAGCACTGACATTTCCAAACTGACGTCCATTCATTCTGGACTCTATATTTTGATTATACGTAGACAGTACTATTTACAGTTTCAGCGAAACAATGTACACCCCTACGTACACGTGAACTGGCAGGAAAGCAGCTCGGCCTTTCCGAGGGAATACTATGCCACGTAAGGTGGAAACGGGTCAAGGGGTTTCTGCATAAGAAAGTTAATATCGCGGTTGTTGGCGTGAGACGTCGCATCGGGGGCAAAAACGAGCCACTTTTAAATGATAAATTATCCGTGACGTTGCTTCGTTCGCTGCCGCTTTCCCTTCGATTTAGCTTACTTTTTCGAGGGCGCGCCGCCTGTTATGTCGATTACGGTGTGCACAGGTGCAGCAACGCCGCCGTTGCGTCGGGCTCGCGTAATTCATGTCGACCGATGAAGTAGCGCAATTAACATAAATGGTCCCGGTCCACGGTGACACCCGATTTATACGGGGCTCGATCGCAAACAAAAACGTGTACACCGTATCGCGGCACCCGCGTTCGTTAGATCAAGATTTACGGCTTAGGTATCGAGCATTGTTTCCCTAATGCCGGGAACCCGTGCTACCGCCCCTCCCGCGGTTGATTTACCGGAAAGCTGTTGGCAGCGTTTCGGCCAACTGGGTTCTACGCCCTATGACGACTTGTTAGCGTCCGAACGTAGTGTTTCTTAGCGATAGACTGGAATCGACGGACAATGGATTCCCTTAAGTCCGATGCAAGCTTACGATTCTGCTCTGAACGGTTACAAATGCGCGACAATTTCTCTCGGACGTCAAATCAATGAAATTGTTCATAATCTCATATTCTCAAGTATTTGATGAAAAGTAGTTATAAAGTGATGATTTATCTCTGTTGCTTTATACTAGGTTTAGACTCCACGCATTTTATTACTGCTATGTATTTTTTAACAGCCAAGCATTAAGTGTTGAATAATGGATGAGAAGGCGATGGTGCTTCTAAGAGCATGGAAAGTGGGAATCGTTTTCTTAATTGGATGAAGGTGAGAATGCTGTTAATATAGGAAAAAGATATAACGTCGGTGAATTTTACGATAACCGAGATTAAAAGGAAGACGCTAGAAATGCACTGAATATTGCATTAGAACGAGCGAGGTCCGAACGAGAAAAAGTATATGATGCTTAAATATTCATGTATCAAGATCTATGCGTAAAATTTGACATCATTTAAAGCTTACTCTCAGGGAATGGGAATTATTTCCCTTAGACTGTACATATTAATAAACTAATAGGTCATATAAAATCATACGCACACGCGGTTACTATTTTAGCTACTATGAAAATTCTCACTTGCGAACAATTAGGCCCTGAGTAGGTACTTTCGAATCACGCGCAGATCTACAAAACCATTATTTACTGGCGTTGAATAATTTTTCTAACGGGACAAGCCTAGTCGACTGCGTTTGCAGTCATTTATCACCTCGTGATTCGAGATAAGTTTGTAATGCGGCATAATTTCCGCTTTGTTTCCTTGGTGACTGTTTTACATTTTGGCGATACCGGCATCATCTTAGATAGCAGTATAACCGGCGAAACTAACGTCGGACCTTCGAGGAATCACGGCCTCGTGTACGTATAAGTGTCTATGTATGTCGAGTAGCAGTTATCGTAAAGTGAACTACTTAATGGAACTACTATCGTCTCGAACTATTCGTGATAAAGCTATTTTGAAAGCACTATAGTGTATATGTATACATACTTATCGATTCCCACCGAAAATTCTCTGATGCTCCATTCTACCTAAGTATCAGTGTCCTTTGACAGTTAACGTTTTGGAGTCTGCGTTAGGCTTCGTGTTCCCTTACTTACTTCTCGTCGCTTTACTATCTATTAAGGTGGTAGACTTCGATAACGGCGTGATAAGGCAGTATGTCAATATTACTTACTAAATTAACTAAAAACATGTAAGTCCATATTTTACACTATTTTTGCATGGTTATGGGTAAAAATACGTCAGTTTACCGACAAATGTTAGAAAAGTCACGTGGCTAGCCTCTTAATTCTAATCAGAAATTCCAAAGGCAATCATCGAATGTTATATCAAAGCGTAAATGTAAGATTCAACTCATTTTTCTATAAAGTAACTTTAAAATTGATTTAAGTGAAATGACATAGAAATACGAAGAATTTATCTCTTTTCTCTGCAATATCGATTATATTTCTAATATTTTTAGACTATTTCTATGGTTTACAATTTGCAGTACAAGTATTGTGCACTCGTTTCTCCGTAGATTTACAGTACAGGCCCATTTCTATATTTTACAAACAGCTTTTAGTTTTTTTATGATACGTATGCATCTATCTACCAAATAAATTCCTGTTTTTACTACTGTTTCCCATAGCGTATTTCTCATCCATATCAATTCTTTTAATTCAAAATAATGGTAAAAATCAACTTTGTATACTTTTGACCGTTTTTAATTAATTTCCTCTCGGTGAAGTTTCATTATTTGAATGTAGTATTCTTCACTGCGTAATAATCTTGTTATATTAAATTTCAGTGAATAGTAAAGAATTTCTTTTATGTCTATTCGAGATGGAATTCTCCGAGTGAGATAAAATCAATAAAAAGTTTCAAATATCATTCATATTTTGGAGACGATAAAATTGATACTGGATTTTGTTAAAATCTCACGGAAATAAACTGTGATGATAAATGTATCAGATCGAATCAAGAAATATATTATTCTGCGGGCTGAACTTTCCGTAAATATTGGAACTTACTTCATACACTTTGCGAGAAACATTCATCCGACGTTTTATGAAAATTAAATTAATTCACTCGGATGTGATTTCCTTCAAAATGTAATAACATACCTTAATTAAAAGCTCGGTAATGTAAAAGCTCTTCTTTTAAATTCATATCGCAAGTGTTTTATTATTTTGCAAATTAACTAAAATACGTAGCAGCTTCTATTCTTCTA